AAATTTTAAAAAAAAAAAAAAAAAAACCACAGCACACAGACACTGAAACCTAGATGGCTTACAAGAATTCTTTCTTATATGAGGGGAGGGGTCTTCTAAAAGTTCATGGCAAAAACATGTGTATTATGAAAAAATAATACATGGATTTCATTCTTTTTTGGCACCAAAATAAACTCATACTTCAATTCCATTTCCCCACAGACTTTTTGAAGTCCTCTCATATTACATTTGCAACAAATAAGATAGGATTAAAAGAGAGATCAGAGCAGGCTGAGAAAATCAGACATTTTCACACTAGTGTCCCTATGGGAACTGGAGGTAAGATGAATCATCTCTCAAGTGATCTCCACGTCATGCTTTTTCACAGCAGGCTCTTCCAACCAGCTTGCCTGTTTTAAATCCACGTTGGACTGCTGCATTATTTCTACTCCCTTGCAGTGGCTGCTTGGGGCTGGGGGTATCTCTTGTCTGCTAAGTAAGGGTTTTACTGTGTGTTCTGGTTTGTATCTTTTCTTAATATCCCCTTAAGAATGCTGCAGTGTTTTGTTGCTTTTGAGTTTTTTTGCTATAGGGCACGTGCACTCGCCAGACAGAGAGAGACAGAAAGCGAGAAATCAACCCCCCAGGGGGGATGGCCACGCCACAATCCCTTCTCCTCCATTCTCCTCTCGGGATCCTGGGCATGCACGCACACGCACCTGGCGTGAGTTTAAGCCACTGGGTCCGAGACTCGAACTGTGGTCGGCTACATGGGAGTCCAGCGACAGAGCCATTATGCTAATTGCTGATTCCACTGCAGTCTTATTCATGTTCCCATCTAAGCATGTTAGACTTACTAGCAGGAGGATACAATGGGTAAGGAGCAGGGTGGGGAGTGGGTCTGCCACCCCTTCTGTAGCTATAAAGACAGAGCTTTACTATTTGAGCCTTCAGTTGTCGGGCTTCCTCTGAGCCTATTTTATGTTCAGTAAGTTCATCACCAGCCTCTTCCCAGCTCCCTTTACATCACCTCCTGCAGCCCTGGTCCTGTGCTCCCCTGTCCATCAGCGCCAGAGCCCGCTTCCTGGTGTAGACCTTTGCGGATATTACCTGCCTTCTGCTACTGCTGCCATGTCTCCATCCTGGGGGCAAGGCACTTCCTTCCCTGTGCCTTAGCAACATCTCTGTACTGACTCGCTCTCAGTCCCAAACTGGCCATTCGTATTCATTTCCCAGGACTGCCCTAACAAACGGCCACACTCAGTGCTCAAAACAACAAGAATTTACTCTCACAGCTCTGGAGGGGCCAGGGTTCAATATCAAGGTATCACTAGGGCCGCCCTCCCTGTGAGCCCTCGGCACCCTCCAGGTAGAGCTCTGGGCTCTGGATGCTCAAGCTGAATGAAACACCGCCTGCTCTTGCAGAGCATGTCAGCGTAGAAGACACCATGTGGGGGCCTGGGCAAAGCCCAAGGTGGGCCAGCCAGTGGCCTGCTGGTTAGAGCAGCTGCATCCCACATGGCTATGTGGTTCAAATCCCAGACCCAGCAGACGGAAAAACACACCTAGCGCAACTGTGTACATGCCCCAAATCCCAAGAGAACGGAAGAGAGAAGGGATTTCAGAGTGGCCATCCTCTCTGTGGGGGAGCTTTCTCACTTGCCCTTTCTCTTTCTCCAGAGAGCACAGGCACCCTACAGTAAACTTTAAAGAGCCCAAGGTGCTGCATGAGTACTCTCTAGGGATCTGGGCGAGGAATGACAGAAACACAGGCAGCACATTCCTGCCTCTGGTGATGGCGGAGCATCAGGATTCCCTAAGAACTTCACATTGAACGGTGGCCATGAAGTCATGACATGCTCACGAAACGATGGAGGCGAAACCAGAGGACTCAAGGCTCTGCCCCACGCCTGTCTCTCATCATAGCCCCTAATCCGACTTTGTTCCAGGACACAACCTCCAGCCTCGAGCAGGTCCGGCTGTCGCTTACTCGTGTAATGCTCTGGCTCACTTGCCCAACCAGGTCCTTCCCCATGAGGACTTGACCGTCCAAGAACCTGTGACCTCAGCACTGCCACTACTGCTGTTCAGGTTGCACTGTGGACAGAGGAGAAAAGCCGCTGGCCTGGCATAGTTAGCAGAGCACCTCTTCCTTGGAAACGCGCTGTGAGAAGCCCATCTCCTGTGGAGACTGGCCCTGCCCTCTTCACATCTATCCTTCCTTAGTAATCATGCATCTTGTGTTTCATGACTTGGGTTCAGCCATGACTGGCTGGTGGCTCGGTGGGCAATTCCATGGAGCATCATGGGTGACTTGTCTCCACCTCTGCTCCCTCCAGACCTGCAGTTTCTAAGCCTTTGAGAGCTGGAAATCACAAGCACACAGCCCTGAGGCGGCCTCATAGGAAGGTTGGGCTAAGGCCTCTACGGGATAGAAACATACAGATTATGTGACATTATCACCAGCTCAGGGCCTTTTGGGATCAATTCTTGGGTTTGCATGAGAGCTAAAACTCTCACCAAGCAACCTCTGTGGAGAGTGGTTACTGTCTAAGATGAAGCCGTGAAGGTACACACAAAATGTGAGCCTGTTTCTTTTTTCAAAAGTCCTAAAAACTTAAGATGCCAACAAACTCACAGGGACGGGAACAGACAATTTGTAGGAAGTCCTCACGTGGTGGTGAAGTTTCCAGCAAAGAAAGTAAGAACAAGAGTTGGGTCACTAGCCCTATTTCTGTCCATTGAGGAGAGGGGACCAAGCAGGTTCCAGTTAGCAGTGTGTGACTGCCCAAGTTGGTGACCCCCTTTGGTGTCTTCCGTATTTGTAAAGAAAGAAAACATGAAGGAAATGTTCCTAGCCCCTGAGATTTCATAGGTGACTACTTTTATTACATCAGTGTCACCTTTTCACAAACAGCCATAGACTGCAAAACGGTGTTTCAGCCAATGGCACAACACATGCGCAACAGCAGTTCCCATAAGACCACAGAGGACGGACCAGAGGTTGTAATGGCTGTGTCGCTGGACTCCTATGTAGTCGACTGCAGTTTGAATCCTGGACCTGGTGGCTTAAACTCACGCCGGGCACGTGTGCATGCGTGCCCAAGATCTTGAGAGAATGGAGGAGAAGAGATTGTGACGTGGCCACCCCCACCCCCGGGGGGTGATTTCTCTCTCTCTGTCTCTCTCTTTTGGGCAAGCGCGCATGCTCTATAGCAGAAACCTCTCAAAAAAAAAAAAAAACAAAAAAAAAACCCACAGTGGAGCTACAAATCCCCTAGTCTAGGGACACTGAGATGTCATGACATCGTAGTACACTGCGTCGCTCACACGCTTGCAACAAGCCTACTGCACTGCCAGTGGTATGCACATATTACATACAGAATGGAATACTTGGTGATCAAGGACGTTACTGGCTTACACATTTACTACACTAGACTCTTCATCTTTACAGTATATTCCTTCTACTTACTAAGATGAAGTTTATTATAAAACAGTACAGCCCATTAGGCCAGCGGCAGCTCATACATCCATGCTCGCTGCCTCTCTTGATGGCATCATTTCTCTTGGGTTTGATCTAATCTCATTTTGTTTCGTTCTTCTTGGCCTTCCCAGCAGGACAAGATGTGGAGGTGGAAGCCAGTGACACTAAAGATTCTGACCCTACATAGGCATAAAATAATGTGTGTGTCTATGGCTCAGTTTTTAACAAAAAAGTTTAAGAAGTAAAAAATAATAAATTTGGGGTTGGCAGGTGACATGGTAGTTCAGGTGCTGGATTCCCACAGGGTGAACTGTGGTTCAAGTCCTGGACCTGGCAGTTCGCTTTCTCACTTTTCCTGTCTGTCTGGTCAAATTAAAAAATAATAACAAATGGGGAACCAACAGCTAGCGTAATGGCTATGTCCCTGGACTCCCATGTAGTCGCCCATGGTGCAAGTCCTGGACCTGGTGGCTTAAACTCCCACTGGGCGCGTGTGCGTGCGTGCCCAGGATCCCAGGAGGAGAATGGAGGAGAAGGGATTGCAGTGTGACCATCCCCCCTGGGGGGTGATTTCTTGCTTTCTGTCTCTCTGTCTCTGTCTTTCTAGTAAGCACACGTGCCTTATAGCAAAAACCTCTCCAGAAATAACAAATGGAATTAAATAATTATTTTAAAATAATATTTTTGTACAGATGTACAATGTATTTGCTTTAAGCAAAGTGACACAACCAGAGTCAAAAAGTCTAATAACACTTTAAGTTATAAAATCAAAAGCTAAGATTAATTAATAGTTGAGGAAAAGCTTAATAAACTTAGTATAGTCTAAGCATACAGTAGTATAGTCTATAGCCGTGCATGGAGAAGTCCGAAGCCATCACAGTCATTCACTTCTCACACACTCACACACCCAGAGCAGCTCCAGTCCTGCAGATGTCACACGCCACATGCCTCTGTAGCTGTACCTTTTGTCTTCCACACTGTATGTTTTCCTAGCTTTTGCTACAGCTGCCTACAGTACTCAGTGCGTGCTGTATGGCTTTACAGTCTAGAAGCCAAGTGCTCACTCATCTAGGTTTGTGTTAAGTACACGCTAAGAGGGTTGCACAACAAGACCACCTAATGATGCACTTTTCAGAACTCATTCCCGTTGCTGAGCGATGCATGACTATATAGAAGACCTCCCCCTACTGGGCAGTCACACAGACTCTGAGTAAATTAGAGTAAAATATCTACACCGACAAGAGAAATTTAAAGACTCTTTGCAAACAAAGGCTTTAAGATACAGTAAGAAGGCAATCTGGCACATTCTGCACATCTCTGCCCCTCTCTGTGTGCATGCACGCCACAGAGAGCCCATGCCACAGCTCGACCGTGGCTCCCCAAAGACGTATGATCATGCACGCCGCAGAGAGCCCATGCCACAGCTTGACCGTGGCTCCCCAAAGACGTACGACGGCTGCTTCATTACTTCACTGCAGAAGCCCCAAATGGACGTGATTCTGAAAGGTAAACTCCAGGTCCCAAACTCTGTTCTCCTTAGGAGAAATGACTTTGCCCAGTAGACTCGGCTGAATACATCCGACACAGTCACTGTCCTATCATGCTTCCGATGCAGCCTGGCTCCAGGTGCAGGCCCTTGGCTATGCCTGCTCCCCAGCACCACTTCCACTGGTCCCTGAGCCTTTACTGGGAGCCTGGGCTTCTGAGCGTGAGGCCTGTTTGGGAAGGCGGATGGGGACGTAGACATTGGAGGCACAGTGCTCCTTGAGGTACTCTCCTCCCTTCTCTTCATAGTCTTTCCTGGTGACCCAGGCTTCGTCGTCATCCAGGTGGTCCAAGGCCCAGGCACGAGCACCATACCAGGCATCCAGCACAGGGTTTGAGGCCAGCTGAACCTGAAATACGAAGAGAACATTCACAGCAGGACGTCTCCCACTAGGGCTTCAGGCTCGATGAGTATCCAGTATGCTGGATCCCAGAGACAAACCCAAAGCAGGGCCTCAATTAACTCCCAAACAGTGCAGGGCTATCTGCATCCTCTGATCCACGCTGAGCTGAAATGCCAGACTCTCCAAGGAGGCACACAAGCATGCAGACCCAGTGGGGTATGATTGCACAGGTCAGATGCATCAGGTTCCCAACACGAGACCTGCCAGTCTGTCAGAAGCCAGCTGCCGGCCTCCTGCTCCATGACGCCATCAGCCACAGGCTGCCTGCAAGAGTGGTGGCTGGCCCTCTTGGCCCTATTCCCTCCTCTGTGAGCAGAGGGAAGCAGAGAATAAGTAAGGTGGCTCTAGCCATGGCGGCAAAAGAGCTTCAGGAGAAATGAGAGTAGAGAGAGGAATCCTGGCATTGTCTGTGATGCAGCCACTGCACAGTTTCCACTGCTTATTCTTGGAGTGACATTGGGAGTCTCTGTGGGGACCCCCTCAACAAGGCCAACATGACCGGCGAGGTAAGGCTCTGAAGCAGAAACCAAGCCTCCTGTTTTCTAGAGTTGCCCACCTCACTCCCCACCTCCCTCTCACTTCCATCCTCCACCAACCACTCCAGGTGGGAATGGTGGCTTCAGATCTCCTGGAGTAAAGGGCAGGCCACACGGCATAGAGTCGGCACACGCAGATGGAGGAGGATGGAGGCCTAACAGCAAGCTCAGGAGTCCGCCTGCCTGGACTGCCTTGCCACACAGCCAAGAGCCTAATCTATCCTCTCTTGCGATGGCATTCTAATGATAAAATTAGAACAGGAGCCCCTACCACTGTGGTTTAGGAGTTGTCGGTGAGAGAATGAGTATAAAGCACTGTACACTGCCTGGTAAGGAACACTGGATAAGTGGTAGCCATTGTTATTACTAATAAGAATGCAGTGAGACACACAGTTAAAAACAGAATGTTATTCAGCAATAAAAAAGGTGCTCTGGAAATGTACCTACGGATATAGTAAAACTGTCGCAATAACCTGAAAAATGTATGGGTTATACAACAAGCTACGCCGATCTTTTGGTTACAATCAGACATGGGAGGAAATGGCCACAAAGTATACACATAATGTTGTTCAGAGGCTGGAACGACACTTCTTTTTCCTGTCTCCAGTCTGGCTTATTTAAATGTATGTTTTTTTGTTTTTTGTGTTTTTTTGTCTATTTTAAGAGATTTTTTTTTTATATAGGGCGCATGCATGTGCCAGAAAGACAGAGGGAGACAGAAAGACAGAAAGCGAGAAATCACCGCCTGGGGGCGGGGGTGATGGCCACGGCACAATCCCTTCTCTTCCATTCTCCTCTTGGGATCTTGGGCATATACACACACACGCCTGGCGTTGAGTTTAAGCCACCAGGTTCAGGACTCAACCACGTTCGACTACATGGGAGTCCAGCGACATAGCCATTATACCAACTGTTGGTCCAAATAGTTTATTTACGTTTTAAAATGTGTTGCTGTTTATGAAAAAACAAGAGCGATTCAATTTTTAAGGAAAGTATGTAAAAGCTGTGCATATCTTGGAGTTCTCTGCCCTTCGACAGACATGGGGTCTGATCCTTGCATGGCTGCAGTGACTGAACCACTGTGGACCACATACTCTTAAGATGGAACATAGGGTCGGTGGCAGCATGACAGTCTCCTCGAGGGTAACATAGGGGAAGGCAGGAAAGGTGTTGGGGGGTGCTGAGGCAGCTGAGGGCACAGCTGGAAGGCAGGCTGAAGAGACCTGGAAGCAGCATTCCCCACAACCAATGGTCACAAAGTAATTCACAGCAAAAGCTTCAGGGATGATCAAGAAATAGATCTTGAAATTCCCAGAAGATCTTTTCTTGATGACTTCATTGAAATCAATCCACTGGTGTGACTCGACCCCACGCTCACACTTTATAAAGCCCCACTTGGTTTTGGCACTGCCAAACCTCCTGTTCTCCACCTCTCCTGATGCTTCTTTCTCAGATTCCCCCATGGGTGTCTACATCCTTCAGCTGCCCCTCAATGCTAGCGTTACTTAGGGCTCAATCCTTGACTTCACCTACTCTCCCTAACAGTGCCAGTCAGCCCATCTGTGCCAAGGGACCCAATTCTACCCTCCTACCCTTTTCCTGGGTGCTCACCAGCTAGCTACGATGTCTTCCTGTGTGTCACTAGAAACTCGACCCACCCTGGAAACAAGAGTTCATCATCTCCCCCCCAAGCCTATTCTCTCTCCCACAGTACCTAGTCTGCAAAGGTCACACTTTTCTAACTAGCTTTTCCTCCCAGAGAGAACCCCGCCGCCCGGCCTCCTGCCCCATGACGCCATCAGCCACAGGCTGCCTGCAAGAGTGGTGGCTGGCCCTCTTGGCCCTATTCCCTCCTCTGTGAGCAGAGGGAAGCAGAGAATAAGTAAGGTGGCTCTAGCCATGGTGGCAAAAGAGCTTCAGGAGAAATGAGAGTAGAGAGAGGAATCCTGGCATTGTCTGTGATGCAGCCACTGCACAGTTTCCACTGCTTATTCTTGGAGTGACATTGGGAGTCTCTGTGGGGACCCCCTCAACAAGGCCAACATGACCGGCGAGGTAAGGCTCTGAAGCAGAAACCAAGCCTCCTGTTTTCTAGAGTTGCCCACCTCACTCCCCACCTCCCTCTCACTTCCATCCTCCACCAACCACTCCAGGTGGGAATGGTGGCTTCAGATCTCCTGGAGTAAAGGGCAGGCCACACGGCATAGAGTCGGCACACGCAGATGGAGGAGGATGGAGGCCTAACAGCAAGCTCAGGAGTCCGCCTGCCTGGACTGCCTTGCCACACAGCCAAGAGCCTAATCTATCCTCTCTTGCGATGGCATAATGATAAAATTAGAACAACAGGAGCCCCTACCACTGTGGTTTAGGAGTTGTCGGTGAGAGAATGAGTATAAAGCACTGTACACTGCCTGGTAAGGAACACTGGATAAGTGGTAGCCATTGTTATTACTAATAAGAATGCAGTGAGACACACAGTTAAAAACAGAATGTTATTCAGCAATAAAAAAGGTGCTCTGGAAATGTACCTACGGATACAGTAAAACTGTCGCAATAACCTGAAAAATGTATGGGTTATACAACAAGCTACGCCGATCTTTTGGTTACAATCAGACATGGGAGGAAATGGCCACAAAGTATACACATAATGTTGTTCAGAGGCTGGAACGACACTTCTTTTTCCTGTCTCCAGTCTGGCTTATTTAAATGTATGTTTTTTTGTTTTTTGTGTTTTTTTGTCTATTTTAAGAGATTTTTTTTTTATATAGGGCGCATGCATGTGCCAGAAAGACAGAGGGAGACAGAAAGACAGAAAGCGAGAAATCACCCCCTGGGGGCGGGGGTGATGGCCACAGCACAATCCCTTCTCTTCCATTCTCCTCTTGGGATCTTGGGCATACATGCACACACGCCTGGCGTGAGCTTAAGCCACCAGGTTCAGGACTCAACCACGTTCGACTACATGGGAGTCCAGCGACATAGCCATTATACCAACTGTTGGTCCAAATAGTTTATTTACGTTTTAAAATGTGTTGCTGTTTATGAAAAAACAAGAGCGATTCAATTTTTAAGGAAAGTATGTAAAAGCTGTGCATATCTTGGAGTTCTCTGCCCTTCGACAGACATGGGGTCTGATCCTTGCATGGCTGCAGTGACTGAACCACTGTGGACCACATACTCTAAAGATGGAACATAGGGTCGGTGGCAGCATGACAGTCTCCTCGAGGGTAACATAGGGGAAGGCAGGAAAGGTGTTGGGGGGTGCTGAGGCAGCTGAGGGCACAGCTGGAAGGCAGGCTGAAGAGACCTGGAAGCAGCATTCCCCACAACCAATGGTCACAAAGTAATTCACAGCAAGAGCTTCAGGGATGATCAAGAAATAGATCTTGAAATTCCCAGAAGATCTTTTCTTGATGACTTCATTGAAATCAATCCACTGGTGTGACTCGACCCCACGCTCACACTTTATAAAGCCCCACTTGGTTTTGGCACTGCCAAACCTCCTGTTCTCCACCTCTCCTGATGCTTCTTTCTCAGATTCCCCCATGGGTGTCTACATCCTTCAGCTGCCCCTCAATGCTAGCGTTACTTAGGGCTCAATCCTTGACTTCACCTACTCTCCCTAACAGTGCCAGTCAGCCCATCTGTGCCAAGGGACCCAATTCTACCCTCCTACCCTTTTCCTGGGTGCTCACCAGCTAGCTACGATGTCTTCCTGTGTGTCACTAGAAACTCGACCCACCCTGGAAACAAGAGTTCATCATCTCCCCCCCAAGCCTATTCTCTCTCCCACAGTACCTAGTCTGCAAAGGTCACACTTTTCTAACTAGCTTTTCCTCCCAGAACTTGGGAGCTGTTGCAGGTCCCACTTATCTCCCCAGACCCAACCTATCATCAAGTTCTGACAATCTTACTCCCTTAATTAATCTCTCACATCAACACTCTCCTTTTCCTCCCAGTCTGCCCCTGTCTTCATAGGTCCTGTGTAGCTACCAAGTGACACTGTGCCAAGGGTTTGGAAAGTATTTCAGAAGATCGTTACCGACCTCTCTTTCCC